TCAACATGTAACAACAGTTGGGTCTCCAGTTGCATCTTGAAAGAAGCTTTAAATTGATTCTTCCATTGCATTCTATAGTTAGGGTAGGGAAATTTGGTGGCTAATTTAACTGTCCTTTCTTTCTGCAAGGGGAGGGTATCTTTTCTCTCTACATTTGCTATCCTACAGGTTCACTACAGTTTTTTGGTGAGTTTGAAAATATATATATATATATTTCTCTGAGGCCAGACCAGGCAGTTCTCCACTGTATATGTATCAGTGGCCTCAAGAGTGATATAGTAGGGTCTTCTGGTAGATCTATTTCCAATTTTTCTGAGAAACCTCCAGATTGATTTCTAGAGTGGTTTATCAGTTTGAAATCCCTCCAGCAATGGAGGAGTGTTCCTGTTTCTTTACATCCTTGCCAACATGTGCTGTCACTTAAGGTTTTGATCTTAGCCATCCTGATTAGTGTAAGGTGGAGAAATCTCAGTCATTTTGATCTGCATTTCCCTGATCACTTTGAATATTCCTTTAAGTGCTTCTCAGCCATTTGATATTCCTCTATTATGAATTCTCTCTTTAGCTCTATACCTCATTTTTTGATTGTATTGTTTGGTTTTTTGTTTGTTTGTTTTTTGTTTTGTTTATTTGGTGGTTAGCTTCTATAGTGTTTTATATATTTTGGATATTAGCCCTCTATCTGATGTGGGGTTAGTGAAGTTTTGTCCCAATCTGTAGGTTGAAGATTTGTCCTATTGACTATGGCTTTTGTCATATCGAAGCTTTTTAGTTTCATGAGGTCCTGTTTATCAATTCTTGATTTTAGAGCCTGAGCCAATGGAGTTCTGATTAAAGAGGAAATTCTCCCTCCCAGTGCCAATAAGTTAGAGGCTCTTTCACACTTTCTCTTCTATTAGATTCAGTGAAATTGGTTTTATGTAGAGGTTCTTTTTTTTTTTAATTAAGCAAAGTTTTATTGGAATGTGATCTTTCTCAGCTTTGTATACCATGTGTCTCCTTATGTCTTCACTTGTTTAGAGGTTCTTGATCCACTAGGACTTGAGTTTTGTGCAAAGCGACAAATATAGTTCTATTTTCATTTTTTTCACCTACAGACAGCCAGTTAGACCAGCACCATTTATTGAAGATGCTTTTTCCCCCCATTGTATATTTTTGGATTCTTTGTCAAAGATCAAGAATCCATTAGTGTGTGGTTTTATTTCTGGGTCTTCAGTTCTGTTCTATTGATCAACCTGTCTGTCTCTGTTCTGGTACCATGCAATTTTTGTGGCTATTTCTTTGTAGTATAGCTTAAAGCCAGGGATGGTGATTTCCCTAGAAGTTCTTTTATTATTAAGAATTGTTTTCACTATTCTAGGTTTTCTGTTTTTTTCAGATGAATTTGAGAATTTGTCTTTCCATGTATTTGAAGAATTATGTTGGAATTTTGATTGGGATTGTGTTGTCTGTAGATTGCTTTTGGTAGGATGGCCAGTTTTACTATGTTAATTCTACCAATCTGTTAGCATGGAAGAGCTCTCCATGAGGTCTTCTTCTATTTCTTTCTTCAGAGTTTCGATGTTCTTGTCACACAGATCTTTCTCTCTTTTAGGTAGAGTTACTCCAATTTTATATTATTTGTGACTATTGTGAAGGATGTTGTTTCCCTAATTTCTTTCTCAGCCCATATATAATATGTATGCATGTATGTATATATGTATGTATGTGTGTATATATATATATGTACATGAGATTGTCACAAAGGAACTAATACTATTAGATATGACTTAAAATAATTATAAATTAATTTTAAGAAATTCAAAATTAAAGACTTCAACAATAATTGCCAAAAAACATGTATAAGCAAACATGAAATGTTAGAAAATATTAAACATCATTAGATATTAATAAAATGCAGATTCGTTCACTATTACACACTATTTCATATGTACTAGAATCACTGATATATTTTAAAAACTTAAATATAAACAAGAACAGAATTTTTAACAAAGAGAACTTTTATAATTGCTGTAGGGAATGCAAAATGGTCTGATAGCATAGAAACTGCTTTAGCATTTTCTTTAATATCAGGTTGATATTAAAACTCCACTATTGTCTCCCTGGAGTATGAAAGGAGTGAAAACTTCTACTCTCACAAAAGACTGTGCATGAATATTGATAGATCTAGCCTAATAATTAACCAAACTGGAACCACATACCCTTAACAGAAGAATGGATATATCACCTTAGGAAAAGCTATGTGACAGAATATTACAAAGGACTTATGTTGGGAGCCTCCTGGCCTGGACCGTGTTGAAACAGGACACAGAGTAGGACTCTGATTTGGCTTTAAAGACTGATAGGCTCAGAACATTCTAGCTCTCTAACTATTGAAATGCTGATGATAATTCTTAAAAAGTCCTAAAAAACTTTCTTGCTAATTCTGAGGATTAAAAGCTGTTGGTTTAGGCAATTGACACTTCTAGCCTAACTGGGAGTGGGAGGGATTAAGTACTGTATCTTTTGTTCAATCTCAGCAGTAACTGTGAGACTCTTAACTTTCCCTCTGCTAGAAAAAATCACAGGAAGAAAAAAGGAAACTTTGAAGGGAATTATCATTTATTTTTTAGTTGTAAAAGCTAAGTTGTGAAAGCTCTCTTAAAAGGGGGGAAAGTGGAAAGATCCTATAAAGGATAAGGGAAAATTTACACTAATTTCTTTGTAGTCTTTGGCATTTAGCACCTCATCCTAAACTAGCAGGAGCTTAAGTAAAGGATTAATTGCTAGAGCCTTTTCCCTTTTGTCCAGGTGCTTCTTGCTTGTCAGGCTAGGGGAGGAAGTTTGACCCAGTAAACTTTGATTGAACAAGAAGAGAATAATGCTCACAAAAGAAAAAACTCTTACATAAGCACATATGCATAAATTCACATAAATTCATATATAGATTCATGTATACATATTTATACACTTCCATTTAAACCAGTTGGGCTCAGCTTGAATACATTCTCACAATTACACACACACACACACACACACACACATACACACACACACACACACGCATTTGGAGCAAAAGAACAAGTACCAGTGCAGAAAGAATTCACTCTTTCTGGATGAAAAATGAGCTCAAGTCTTTATTGCATAGAGAAAGAAAAAACTCCCCCTTTAATGCTAAATGAATTAAACTTGAGTTTGTAAGAAGAAAGCTTTGTTCCTTTTAGTTAAATTAAACCTGCCTTGTTATTAAGTAAAGATCTGTCGCATGGTAAGAAGTCTGTCTGTTCCTTCTGCTCTCTGCAACTTCTTCCTTTTTCCTCTTTCCGTTTGTATTCTGCATATTGCTCTCTTAGTTTTTTATGTTACCTATAGTTTCTAAACTATTCTACTCCGCATTCTCCTTCTAACCTTGCTCTTTCTTCCTGCTCTGATCTCACAATAATGCTCTTACTTTCAATAGCTTTTCTCCCAATGCTATGCCTTTATTTCTAAGTTCTTCTTGAGCTCAGTTCTGTCTAAAAAGTTCTCTTTTGTCCTGATTTAAAAAAAAAAAAAACTTCAGTCCTGTTCTAAAAAGTTCTGTCCAGATCTGTCTAAAAAGTGTTCTGTCTAAAAAGTTTTCCTCAGCTCAGTTCTGACTCTTCTCAATATCTTTAGCAATACATGTCTTTCAGAATACATGATCACATGGTAAAAATTTCATCACACATTTACATAAAATCAAATCATAAATCAAATAAGAAGATTACATCAGAGAAGGTTTACATCTGTATCTATTAGGAGTATTTATTTGGCTAAATGGTCATTACCTGTCATAGCGCCACAGGTTCATTAAGAGTTGAAAACCATAAGTAAGTTATTACTGAAGTTTTTTATAGATATACCCAGTGAATATTTTATTTTCTGTCCTAGTACCTATAATAAATCATTAGTTCCTTTTTATAACTTTTGGTTAATGGTTTTACAACCTCTTGGAATGTGCTTTAAGTAGTAGAAAGTCTGGTTACTATCTAGAAGTAATTAACTGGTAACACAATGGGAGCAGAGTTACAGTTTTGACTATCAGGAAAAGTCTTAATAGCAGCCCTATTATAAAAGGGTTTAATATATGTTGATATAATTTTAGAAATTCTTATAGGGCTAGCATTAATAGTTAAGAAGTCATCTATTTGTCTATATAGCATCACTCTAAGACAGTACATCTTTGTATTTCTGCAGAGATCTGCTCAAAAGGGAGAGGGCTAATACCTAGTGATTATTAGATATGCAATAATAACAGTAAAATCATATTAATAACAAGAATATTTCCTAAAATGATTTTCTCATGGGCCTTGCCTATCAGAGTTTCAGTGTAGATTTTCATCTAAGGTGAAGTCATCTTAGAAAGATTACCTACTAGTTATTAGCTTGTGCTATGATGGCTTCTGACAGATTTGTGCTAAAATCCAAGCATATTTACTATAGGATCCTTGAAAAGTAAGCTAATAACCCACCAGAGAATTACATTAAAAATGAGTTTCCTCTCATTTTTCTTGTCTTTGTTTCAATTGTCCTGCCTTCCACACTTCTATTACAAGCTCAGAAATTTCTTACCATTGGTGAGGTATAATCATGGAAATGAACTACAACTCTTTCTAAAAGTTAAAGGTGCCCTGCTTGCTCCTGTGGTTTCAGCTCTCAAGGTAGCCTCATACTTACATGCACTTTAACAACTAAACAATCTCACTAGGTGCTGTCTTAGACACGTTAGCCCAGATAGGTTCTGAACATGTACTCCCAAGTGAAGCAGCTGAATATTATATGACAGATACATTTTTCATGGTTTTGAAAAACTCCATAACTTATCTCTGATAAGTAACCAACTTAATTTCCAACCAAGAAAGTAAAAAACAAAAAAAAAAAAACAAAAAACAAAAAAAAACCTTCTTTTTCTTTAAATACTTGTTATTATTCAACTTTTTTTTATGATGGTCATTCTAACATGTTTTCTTATAATGATTCTTCATTTTTGTTCTCTTTAGAAGACTCCAAAGATGTACCACATTCAAAAAAAGATAAAGGTGAGTTCCTTACCTTTTGCACTTTTATACACTTTTTCTCAAGGACATAGGGTTCTGCTTTTTTAAAAATTCATTTTAGTTTAATATTCTTGATCTCAGTATAATTGTAGGCATTTCTGAGCAATGTATATGTGATATATTTGCTTTTAACTTATTCTATATTATTTATAAATTATTCTTCTCTTTGTATATTGAAGAAGAGCTAGGTTGACCTTATTTGTAAATATTTATCAAGTATTTTTATTACCTAATGTTTTTTTAAAATAACATTTTAATGATAAAAAATTATCACTTCATTAGTACAAATCTATTATTTCATCAAAAATTGTTTCTATTAAGAAAAACTTACCAATAGTAAAAGCCCTCTTCTAAAGGAAGAAAACAGAGAAGGAAAGAAGAATAGAATGTACACACGCACACAAGCACGCACGCACACATGCACGCACACACCACACATGGCTCATGCACTCCGAAAAGCTTTCCTACTTCCAAATGTTTAATATTAACCAAACACTTCCCAATGCTTGTCTCAGGAAAGTGAGAGTTGGAAGTAGCTTGTTAATTTTTGTCAATGTCATTTACTGAAGGGCTTTTAGTTTCTGACTTCGGAACTGCTACAACACAAGGACTTCTTCTAATATATTCTGTGGATAGTAAGAGTTGGCCAACTATTTTTCTTGCTATGAAAGTGTAAGTTTTGTAACTGTTCCTGAACTTTATTAAAAATGGGAGAATCATTGCCTTGAGTAAAGATACAGTCAGATAAATGGATACCCATGCCTTGCAAAATCAAATTTGAATTGAAGCTTGTAATGAGATGTATTACTAGAAAATGTATATATTGTAGGTAAAACTGAAAATTGATTTAGCAATTTAAAGATAAAGGGATTCCTTCTAAAACTAATTATAGATCTACTACATCTTCTGTCAGCTCGACTACTAAATATATATATATACAAAGGAGACAAACCATTATTACAATACATGTACTTTCATATTAAATACAACACTATTTACATAACTATAGTATAGAATGAACCAAAATGAAAGATAAAGGAATTGTGGAATGTATATACAATAGGTTATGATTTATCCAAAAACAAAACAACAAAAACATCTACAAAACAAAAAGCAAACAAAAACCATGGAATCTGATAACTGTATTAAGTGAAATAAAACAAAAGCCACCTAGCATCACTAAGCCTTTAAAAGTAAATTTCAGTTGCATACAAGAACACACTGGAATATTTGTGATAAACTGGAGATAACAAAAGAGAAGTAAAGAGTGAGTTAGCTAAGGGACACCAAAACCCACAATGGAAGACTCTGGTTTCCTATAACATCCTGGAGTAATACTGTTTAACCTACAAAACTGTTTAAAACAGCTTATGTGATATTTTGAAATACTGAAAGAAAAACAAAAACTCTCCAGTACATAAGAATAACAGACTTCTAAAGAGATTGAATAATTTAATTGTTACTACCCCTTGCTATCTAATTCCTAAGCATCAAAGACTGCACCTCAATAAATGAATGCATGTCAGTTCATCACCATTCATCAACACCCTAGTTGACAGGGACAGTAGAATTGCTAAGAGCATGCTTCTATACCTCAGTACACAGTTTATATAATGAAAGTCTGAAATGAACCAAAATAAAAACTTGGAGTGTGTAAAAATGGTATTTTCTGTCACTAAAATACTGTGCTTGAATATATAAGACACAAACCCAAGTGTATGCTACAGATCTCTGCATGTATTAATACTTCCCCTTTACTCTTTTATCCTTAGAAGTAACTGATGATGTATCATCACCAAAGAAGCAAAAAAGTAAGTTTATAATTAAATTAAAAACAGCTAACTCCTCCATTAATTAAGATACTAGTTAGATAATTAAACTTTAGAGGCTCTAAAGCAGTATTAGTAAAAAAAAATAATTAATTTTAGCATTGATCTGATAAAGCACTTTAAAGTTTCAAATAGAAACTTGTCATTTTTGTCTCAGTCAAGAGGCATAGGGTTAAAATAACTCTAAATTATTCTGAAGAGTCATTCATCCATAAGCTATTTAGCACAGCTCTGATCTTGGGTTCTCTACCTGAATATTGCTTAAATGTGTGTTACTGTCTGCTATGTAACAGATTAGTCAAAGTGGAGTGCTGAAATTCTTTAAATAACGTTCAAAAAATGTGGAAATATTTTTAGCTAATTGGTTGCTTGTATTCATTCCTAAAATTAAAAGTTCCTTTTGATGTTCTTGGACACTTGGCAACCTTTTAAGAGTCAGTGTCTGGAATTATTGATTATAGAATGTAATCAATATTCACATGGAGTTCCAGAACTTGGTGCTCAAGACTCTTTATCCAAGGTTTTCCAAGTGAGATATTTTTTTTTAGATTGTAAAGCAAGACACACACACACACACACACACACACACACACACACACAAATCATCACTACACAGACTACAGCAAACAATTTTTAAAATAGATCCAATAAGGCCATCACACACAATGCTTTAACGAACTAAACATTTATCTGAGAAAATAATTCTCATAGGATTTGCATGGTTTCCTACATGCCTTCTGAAGGAAATTGCTGAGATGGCTAATTAATTGAGAGGTTTGGATACCTACTATGCTATGAATGCTGCTATTGATACTGATATGGCTACACAAAAGTGTATCACTGGAATGCTTCATACAATCAGACTGTGAGAAATACAGGAGCATAAACAATCTTGATGCAGTAATTTTATATATCAATAAAAATTCCATGAAAAGGCAATTATGATCTGAACTACCATGCTCTTCCAATTGATAAACTATTGTTAATTTCAATTAGAATACATCAATAGTTGAAATCTCTTATTTCAGGAATAAGCATACAATGTGTAGATAGTATCAACACTACTTTCCTGTTGACTCTATCTTCCTTTTCCTGTTGACTCTATCTTCCCAGTGTGAGAAATTGAATGAAATGCATGGAAAGTCACTGTATTGTTTCTTATGCAAATATAAATTAGGTCAAAATAAAAAGAAATGTAATGAAGTCTCCAGCCATGTTGGGTCATGTTTCTACTATCACTCCTGATACTAAGGCATGATTAATCCCTTGAATTCAAAACCACTATGTGCCAGATAGTACGTAGCCCAGGCTAGCCATTGTTACAGAGAAAAATCTTTCCTCAAAGAAATATTTAATTTATTTTTAGAAAAAAATTACATGATGTAAAATATTGTTCAGTAAAACTTTTTACTTGTGGAATCTATTACTTCAAGTATTATTTAACATTTTCATCTTAAAATAGCAGTTTTACATCCTATTGTTCATGAATGTAAGTTCTAAATTTTTTAGAGCTAATGATATTTTTGCTAATAGCTCTTTCTTCTTGGGTTAGATGCATATGCCAGGGCAGAGCCTGCATCTGCAAAAGTTCAAATTAGATGGACATATATGAAGATGTTCTTGAATTTTATCACCAGTTGTTTATTTCTCCCTGACTCAGGCAGCTTTTTGCTACCTCCATTTAATGTACACTAGCTGTTGCAGTTTCAACAGCTTTAGGAAAAGAGGACTTGTGCTACCAAGATACAAGAAAACAGAAATAGAGTTAATTTCTGAAAACCCAGTTATTGAGGCTAGGCCATGCCTCTTCACTGGAATCTGAAGATACTCTTAACTTGACTCATGTATATTAATCTTAGTACTTGGGAGGCTGAAGAAAAAGAAATTTTGTGAGATCAGCCTAAGAAATATGAATACTATTTATACTTGTTTCAGCTTCCTTACCACACTTCATTCCATTCATACAAATGTGGCCATCTTCCTGTGTCCTACATGTCATGCTCTTCAATCATCATTTTCCTGTAGGCCTTCAGCAAGACATCTGTGATTGTTTACAATAATGTACATGGATACAATAGAAAATAGCACAGAGTTAGTGAGTATCTGTGACTATAGGAGAGGTATTTGATCTCTTAATACAGTTGCCTCCAGGGAAACCTGGTTCAGTATCCATAGCTCAGATTCTGCCCATAATATTTTACACCATGCTCCTTAAAAACAATTAAATTTCTTTATTTAGGTGGAGGTGGGGAAGTGGCATCTTAGTGTTTGAATCTCAGAAGATACCCTATTAGGAGTTGATTCCCTTGTTTCATCATGTGGGACCTGGGCCTTGAACTTAGGTAGTCAATATTGACAATGAGAATCTTTACACAATGAGGCATCTCACTGGCATTGTGCCATATTCAACTCGTTTTTCTGTGTTATTCTGTGCATGAAGCATCTGCCTTAGAGCATTGCCTGAAGAAGAAAACAGGTTTCTTCAAAAGATCTTATGCTTCCTGAAAAAAGATAAATGGAATAACTCACTACTTTAGGACTCACAGATGCTCTGAGACACTATTAACACACACACACACACCACCACCACCACCACTACCACCACGACCACCACCACCACCACCACGACCATCACCACCACCACATTCTATTCTCTGTTCATTTACTTTTGTCAGTATCCCATCATGATTTATGTTGTCTTGATACTATGTATAAAGAAGCCAAGTCATACTTAAGTACAGTTTTCTCCAGTAGTCAGGGACTATGTCTACTGTGGTGTACAGCCTCACAGTGCCTCCTGTGTTGCTATACAAGTACTAATTGTTTATAACAAAAATTACACTCTCTTCCTTAGGTCCCATCAGTTTCTTCCAATGTGTCTACTTGGATGGGTACAACGGCTATGGGTTTCAGTTTCCTGTCACTCCTGCCCAACATCCTGGAGAGAACCCTGGCAAATCAAACTCTCCAGGACAGAAGCAGCAAGAACAATAGATAACCATGCATGACCCTGACAACTGCTTTTACATGGTGAAAGTGAAAACTTCTCTTTTGTCCACAGTGGTCCAGGCAATCGAAACTATCCAATGTTGAGATTTCATTGTAAACATTTTGCCGGGCATAAAGAGATGACATTGACAAAGGAGTTGACTAATAAGCAAATGTGTTGAGGGTCTAATACTTGAGAATCTTATTTGTGTCTGTTGCTATAGGAGGGGTACTTACATTAAGCTCTTTCTAGGCGTTATAAGGTAGTATGCTCATTAAAGTTTACTTTTAAATGTAATTGACACAATTACAAAATGAGATTTATGACTTTAGGTAGATAATTTTAAATTGGCAACACTGACTGTGTTCTAATTTTAAATAGTACAAGGCCGTATATAAAAGTTATTCTTCTGCATCTTGTAGGTAGACTCAGATTATCCAGAAACCTATGTGTATCATTATATTCTTTTCTGTTTCTAGTTCAGTTTTGGCAAGGCTCTACATAGGTATGTCTTACACCAGAGGGTTCTAAATCCTTTGCAATATTCTTAATGATCAGATTATCTAACAGATGGAACATGACAAAGAATAAGTGGTTATTGGATCTTATCTCTGAGGTTGTCTTGAGCTATGCTTAAGATATTCTCTCCTATGGACATAAACTTGCAGTTCAGCAGGTCTGGAAAATCACTTGTTTAATATGCAAGTAAATGAGATATGAAATATTTACATTTCTCTAGATTATGCCCCAGTAAATCAATCACCTGGGTGAAGGTTTAGATCAAACAATAACTATGGTTGACCAATACAAACATAGTTTTATTTCTCAATACATACTTACTGTGAAATTAAGTGTTTCTTTTTTCAAATGGAAACAATACAAATGCCCTACAGGCTTAAGCAAGATATTTTGGGCATAGACATGTTCATGAGATTTCTTACTTTCTTTTTGGACTAATTGAACATTAATGACAGTTAAATGAATGGCAGTTTTAACTTACTTGTCCATGCATCACTGAAAACAACTGTTGAGAATGTTCATCTTCTTGATAATACAGACATTCAATTTTCATGAACTTTTCTTATCAACTCTAGAAAACGTGATTGTACTTTTTCATCAAGTTTTCAGTTGTAGCCGAACTTAGGACAAATTAACTCACTAAATACCTTGAGTTACCATTTTTTGGAGGTATCATAAGCTTAGCCAATGCTCAGCTTGTGAACTAGCTGTGTGATTGGCTTTCAAGTACTGCAGCCAAACATAGTTCTTGAGATCTAAGACAAAGGTCCTTTTTATCAATATTCAGATAGAATGTGGATCATATACTCGGCATTAATGATGGAATGTCAGTGACTTTTGTAAGAAAGTTAGCTTCAACCAGATGCTAACAGACAGAATTCACACCACAAAAGCCAACGCTACAATGAATTAGATTAATGGAGCCCTTTGGAGGGGAAGGAATACATAATTGACAAGAGCAAATGGTATCATTTTTCAAAGCTGATTCATTCAGCAATTCAAACTTACAAAGAGAACAGTGGATAGAGTGCTTTACTTAATTGCAGTTTCATCCATGCAATTTCTTGAGTATTGAACAGAGAACAAATGTGATAGTTGTTTTAAAAGACTTACTACAGAATGAGTTATCCACTAAGTTATTACCTTTCAATGACTATATACTATGCACTTAGTCTTTCTATTCTGTGTCAGATAATAGAACATGTAACATAATACAGCAAAAGATTTTACTTCATGTTATTCTGGCACAATGAATGACATTGAAAAATGTATTACATATATTAGGTCTGTATCTCCAGGATTCAAAGAACCATCAAAACAAACAACTCAGTACTTCGCAGAGTTACTCTGGAGACAGATAAAGTATTTTAATATGAATTTGTTTGAAAACATTTTCTGAAATTGTGTCTTTGGAGATTACATTAATCTTGTCTCCATCAACTTTTAAATATCATCATCTGTTTTCTTTATGAAACAAATTAGCAAAATATAATAGATGTTATTGTAAATTTAGGTGTGAATTAGAGAAAAATTATGGTGTAATTAATATTAACAATAATTGTTAAGGTTTGTCTAAAATTTCAATGACGAGTATAATTTGAAAATATTATCTAAACTGTCATCTGTTTGTATCTTTACATTAATAAAACACTTCTGGCCCTTAAATTGAGTTTAATGGTTTGTATCTTTTTTTTAAAAAGGTATAAATGGTTCATTTTTCATTTTAAAATTTACTTCATTTTTTATGCCATATTAGTCAAAATGTATAAGTGACTGATTAATTTTTTGACTTTGTCTAGTGGGTTTGAGTCCTTCATATTCCTGCATACTCCCTTTTTTCATCCATCTTGGTATATGAAAATATACAGAAATAAGAACATTTATTTTAGCCCATGTTTTCTTATTTCTCTACAGTTATATAACTTCTGTACATCATTTTACAAATATAACCAAAGTTAGTTTGTGTGTTTTCCTCATGTAAAGGACCTCTCTGTTTACTCATTCTGATATACTCTTGTCTAAACTCTTCAGGGAAACATTTCAGAGTTGTTATTACGTATTTAAGAACTCTGCCTATTTCCTTGAACATTCTTGCTGAATAAAAAGGCAAGAAGAGTAACAAATATTGCTGGTAGAAAACTAAGATTTCTTCTATTTCAGCTAACATCTTCAGAAAATGAAAATACTACAAGATACATAAAAGGACGTTTTTTAAATCACCTTTTCTAAATGGGTCAATGTGAGAAATGTATTTAATACTAATCATGTCTAATTTTTATTGCACTAATAGTGAATAGAATTAAAAGAGAGGCTAACCTTCATAATCATAGCTTCAAAAAAAGAGATAACTGTGGATTTTTGTGGAATGTGTGGAAGTTACTGAAAACTTCAAAGTTAGGTCTTAAACCTTAGCCAACTCTTATATATCCTTACCTACTTCTTGGGATATTTTTAATTATTCTGTATTACTTAAAAATTATATTTGCATTGTCTATGTACCTGCATAAGGTAGTATAACTGGATTATAGGTGCTGGAGAATCCAGAATAGAAATATAAATCCCCTAAAGTTGAAGCTTCAGGATATCATAGACAGCACATTATAGATGCTGGGCACCAAACTCTGTTTCTCTGGAAGAGCACCATATACTCTGTTTAACTATCTCTCTGGCCACTTGGGCTTTTATAACAACTGCTGACTGGTTTTTCTAATAGCCTCCAAATCTATCTTTAAAATCATAATCCATGTTGTAAACATCTGTGCAAAGACTTACTTTCTTCTGCTCAATAGCTGAGAAATGTCTACCATGTTCCTTCTACATTATGTAAGGCAAAGAAAATGGACCATAGAGGAGCTGGGTAACAGAATAATGACAGCTTGCTTATCAGGTTATGCTGTGCTGTGCTGTGCTGTGCTGTGCTGTGCTGTGCTGTGCTGTGCTGT